AGATGTCAACAGTTGGTGGTAAGCACAAGCTTGTTGGATTTGTTGACCTGGGAAAGGGCCACGAGCTAATGAATATATTGTCAGGTAATTTACATGAAAATGCATATATCAATTTACAGTAGTATAAGCAGTTCAAACGAATTACAGATATATGCTGTTCCTCTCTTACTGCTATAAAAATTGTAAAACAGCTAAGACTTGCTTAAAAACAAAACAAATATATGCCACTTCCTTCCAGGTTAAGCTGATGAACCAGAGCTTGCCACACAAGTGCTGCAATTCATTTATGTCAGTGACAATGGATTCAGGTTCCCTATTGCTCAATATCCATCTGGGGTTTGCACACCAAGTAGCTTGTACTTCTGTTTTTGGGAAGGAGTCCTGAAGATGTTGGAGATTGGATTTGAGTGAGTAATCAAAAAAGAAAAGTTAAAGTGAAATAGTTTTGCAGGGAAAGTGACAGCCAATAATTGTTTGAATTGCACAGCTAATATTAAATGCTTGTGAATTAGATGCTACAAGTTTAATAATATTATTGGTACCACTACATTTTGCCTTGATTAATATGCCCAAGTACCATGATGTATGAGTATCACATTAACAAGTTGCCATTTACATTAAGCTTTGTTTTAGGAGAAAAACAATATGTTAAGTAAGAGAGTTTACATATTACTTACAAACTGATTTGCCATGTAATTTACTGACTCGAAGGAATTATGGAAGTTGTGAACCTACGATCCAAGAATAGGAAAGACATATCAAATTAAAACATTTCATGAATGTTATACTTAATACAGTTATCTTTACATTATTGTTTGTCTCAGCTTATATTTTGTATTATTTTGTCTTCTCAAAGGGTGTACTGGTGTGTCCTTGATGGTGCTGACTGGAGCAGGCAGTTTGTAAAGATGCACTTTCATGACAAAAACCCTGCTAAACAGTACACTGGTGGTCCAATGATGTTTATCATGGACCCAAAGGTAATAGACAATACTTCTATGACATGTATGTATATAAGCCCAATATTTTCAATTTGGTATCTGTTATTCAGATATTACTGTGCGAGTAAAAAAAAAAAAGCCATGAACACCTTGATTTGATTCTGACAGGTTAGTAAGTGTACTGACCAATCATAAATTATAAAGTTCAGGACATGCAAAGAAACTTCAAAATCACAAACTAATTTCCATTGCTGTCTGCAGTTTAGTTTTTTCATTCCTAATTGACTTTTTCCTTGCAACACAATACCATTCCATATATATTTATGGTGTTCATGGTTTTCTGAGCTTCACAGTGAGCAATTGACAAAAATATTTGCTTTAAGCAATTTTCAATGATATTGAGCCAATAATATTTTCATGTCAAGCCAATTGCTTTTTTTAGGCAATTGACAGTATCTAAAACACTCTCAAGAGCAGGTTTGCCTGAGGCTTGCCTACAGTGTTTATTATAGAATATTGTCAGTCAGTTACCTGATATCAATTGAAAGCAGAAGTATGAAGCTATAAGTGTTACTGACTTTGACCAATTTGTAATTGAACAGCACAATATCAAGAAGATACGAAACAACATTGAAAAAAGTAGTAAGAGCGGCAAGCCAAGATGTCTTCAGATCCATGGAAAGGAGATCACATGGACTCAGTTCAAAAGTGCTTTTAACTGGGATCAGAAGACCTTCTCTCTCCCATTGCATGAGAAACTAACCATGCAGCATTTTGACCTTGATTCTGCCAGCAAAATGCGGAACAGACTCGCAGAAGATGTACTTGATACAAAGATGCTGTTTCTCATGTAGGTAATTGTTTTGTTTGTTAACATATAGTTTAGTCACTTCTCATTTGATTAACTCAAAAATAATCAACTCCAAGTTTTAATGTTGTTAAAATGAAAGTTCATTGGAAAAATTGTATCTACAAGGCTCTGCATAATTGCCAAAAAAACAACAACAACATAATTTACTTTACTTACATTTCCCTTTTCAAAATATATTTTCCTCTGCATTTTATAACTTTTGTATTACTTTTCATATTAATTTCTCTTCTTTTTTCTTTTCAACATTGTAGCTTACATCTGTGAACTTGTATCTATACAGAAATATAAGGAAAGTATGAAGTCAAGCGGAGAGGATGACTCCTCATTTGATGCAGTAATCAGCCTGTTAGAACACACAAGTGAGCTGGTCTCACTTTTCAATGACAGGCTCTACATCACCTGCACTAATGACATAAGGCTTCAAAAGCTAAATAATTTCTATAACTGGATGTGCTCATGGGAAGAAAGCACTCAAGGAGATGGCAAGCTATTCATCTCAAGTAAATTATGGTTTGATTTAAAATCAGTGTGTCTTGGATTCCAGTCACTAGTACATTACAAATTGTTAAAGCATCCTAGTTCAGTAATCAAGCCTGCCATAGTAAATCAGGACTGTGTAGAGAACCATTTCTGTCAAATACGTTCTTGTAATGGTCAAAATGATAACCCAACCTTCTTGGAGCAACAGTCTTCACAAAATTCAATTAGACTAGGTCAAACTACTATTAGTCCTAAGAGTAATGCCTCCTGTAGTAGTGCCTTTACAAGCCAGCGACCTTCAATTCCAAGCTCACATCAAAGTTTATCATGCAGTTAAATACTTTGTATTTTCATCTTATAATATTCACATGCCACTTTTATGGTTAAAATAGGCAAGTATGTGAACTTACTGTTTTCCTTGGAAGTCAATGTTAGAGTTTGTATGGGAATGTATGTGTTATTGTATGTATATCCATACTTCTCAGTTGATGATCATGAAAGATATTCAAATATGAAATTACTGGGCTTAAAAATATGAAATTCTTTGACTTTTAACACTGTATTGTACTGTGTTACAGAACTGTTTCCTATTTAAATAGTAGGAATGGTTTTAAAGTTTTTTGCACAAGCATGAATTGTACCCTTAAGTGTCCATTCAAAATATATAGCTTATCTCTTTGAAAGAGTATCCTGATGTGTCCTTCAGACTCAGAGTTTCTCACTATCCTAAACTGCCTGTCATCAACTGGTATTGTATTTGGAATAAATGCATGTTCTGGAATAACATTTAACAAATCTTGTGCAATAACTAACTTAGTCGATCTTGAAGAAGTTCTGACACCATATGCCTGACACAAAGCAATCAGTGGCGATTTAAGGTAGACTCTACTCAGTGGGGCAGTGCCTTGATGTTGGTGAATGAAGCCAACCAATCGGCTGTGGGAGGCCCTTTTGTTTTCACTCCTGTCTTTGAGGATTTCCTGATGTGGAAAAACAATTAAATGTACTGTACTTATTTAAATTTACTATCATGTTAATTGTTATCTATTGAAACCTACATGGAATTTTAGAAAATTATGTAAAGTTATATCTACTATTATTATTGCTGTAATATCTATGCTGTATACATTACATGTAAGGAATAGACGCGTAAGGTACAGTATATATACACGCCACTGTATGTACATAAGCGAGCCCTATATTCTAGTGTTTAGCTTATCTTATTAGCCATTATGCATTCTAAAAGGACAATAAAATGCCAGCAATTCCAGCTACCTTGAATGGGACACTGTCAGATTTTTCCTTCGTTTCTTCCTGTCTTTGCAAAATGTGTTTTCGCAGCTCCGTGTTCTTTTTAATCGAGGCACCACGGCGGAAATCGCTCAAGAATTGGGATGCATCCATGTTGACATAACATACCAAAATCTCTTTCCGCAGATTTTCGATTAAATCCTGTGTGGAAGAGAGATACTTCAGCTTAAGTTGAAGCCTACCACCGTAGCTTTAAATGCTTTCCACACGAAAGGTGAGAGAATTCCTTGCTAGTAGCCCACTGATAAGACATGTGCTTCGAAAATATAAGCTGGATATTTCTAGTGGTGAGCGAAAGAAACGAGAATACTACGTAACTGAGTTATATATAAGCTTTGGTTATGAATTAACACTATGATTTTGCGCCAAAATTAACGAGCATTTTGTAACCCATGGTACTAATAAGGCATATATTACAAACCTCGCTCCTGTCAATCTCTTCACTTGGAAAACATCGCATCCAACTTTCTTTCAGTTCTTCGTCCCTTGTAAGTCTACATATGGCCGCCTGAACCATATTCTCGCGCTCTTTTCTCATAACATTAACGTTCAGTAAGTCTACTCTCCTTTGCTCCAGCTGCATGAAGAAGAGGTAAGCCTCATCCGATACATGGAGAAGGCCCCTTTGCCGATACTGCCTTGCCTCCGTTACTTCTAGCGTCTCTTTAAATTTCCACGTTTCTTGTAGTCGGTCGAAAGATTGAATAACGTTTTCTTCCAGAACCTAACATGCCCTTTGCTTTGTTTCAACTTTGACCAGCGTAGAGCTCGAAGTCGTGTAGACGTTTTTCCGTAGGTAGGTTCTAGCCCGGGAGAGGACTTTCCTGACCGCCCAACCACCCACATGTCGAATTTTTGACCTGCCAACCACCACCTCTTGAACGTTGAAAGCCACTCCTATCATCCCTATCGTGTCTCACGGTGGAAGCCAGTGTTTCTAGAAATTCGAAGTAGATAAACTTCGCAATCTCAACAACGACAGTCCGCTGGAAAATTGTCGTCTCTTTGACGGCGAAGACAATGCATACATAGCGGGATAATTCAGTGCTGGTGAGGAATTCATGCAGTCTCGACGTCGCCTCTGTAAATCCTTGCCTTCCGATATTAACGACAATCTCGTCTGGATTTTCTACAACGTGGTTTTCGATGATGAGAAATGAATGAAACCATATCAATTACAAAAGGCATTGAACCTTGACCCAACAGGTGTCTGTTAACAGAAAGTCGATTTTTCTGTATTTTTCTTCCAAAAACGTAGAAGCAATTGAAGTCGGCGAGGCTTTCATCGCTAACAGGTGATCTCGGCTTTTAATGAGAAATCCTTCTGGCGGACTCGCTAGACTTGACTGATGCCTCATCATGCGGTCGTAAACATCCAATAATAACTCCAGTGGGGCAGCAACCTCTCCGTCCTCAAAGCATTGCTGCACAGGACCATCGAGCAAACCACTCGGGAAAGTGAACGGTTCGTCGTCTTCCTCGCACGCGTCGAAGCGATCCTTTACTGAAATGAGGTTGTTATCTTCAAAGCTCCTTTTGCAGCAGCATGATAGGCCAGGCACATACTCACGAGAACAATGTACAACTGCCGAGGCAAGCGTCAAACCTTGCGACTTATGACACGTAACTGCATAGGCTAATACAATGGGGAATTGGGTCACGCCTCCGATTTTTTGGCCATTCCTGTTTCTTCTTATCCAAGTTTCCCTTTGAATCTCAACGATGCCAACTTCTTGAAAGGCAACCAAAAGGACATCACCTTTTACTCCGGTAAAAATACCGAGGGAACCGTTCTTTAAATCGTCATCACGAGCATCACACGAGCATCACTCTGCAGCCACGCTTTAATTGCAGGACTGGTGTTCCTGGCCAACACATGCTCTTGGACCCGTCGTTTTCAAATAGAGCCTGAAAGGTTACTGAATCACCAGGTGATGCATCGAGCTCCCGTCTCTTAGATAATTGCACGGGCACTTTTCGAAAAAACATGCGCGTTGCTTCTTCTTGAAACGCTGGTGGTAAGGCTCTACCCTTGGAAATCCATGAGCCAAATTCAAAATCTTTTGTGATTGTTACTTGGTACAGACCATTGGTATTTTTTCACCTTTTGAATTCCTAATTGGAAAATTGGATAGTGAAATTGTAGAATCTTTTGTACTGGGAGACATGAACTGTGATATGATCACTACTCGATATGACAATAACGTATCCAAATTAAGGAGTATTGCCGATGTTTACGGACTCGAGCAGCTCATCTCTGAACCAACGAAGATAACACCCACCTCTTCAACTCTAATTGATTTAATCTATACCAACTGCTCAGATAAGATCGTTCGT